TCATCATCATCACGGCTCGTCGTCGCTTTTGGACACGTCGTCCATCATGCTCCACCAGGGAGACGTGTTCATTCTCAAGGGCTCGAGTGCCGTGAGCCAAAAGTCCAAGGACCTCACGCTGTTCCTCTTTGACCACTTGCTAGTCTACTGCAGAAGGGTGAGGATTTTCATCAATATCAAATAATGCATTTTTTATTTTTAAATATTGTAGTAACCTATATAGCTACTGCCTGATTTGTACATTATTATTACAAGAGTGCTGTATGAAATCTGTTGTGCATATGTATGTATGTGATGCAGAATAAAAATACTGATGCAAAATACTTTATTATATTCAAGCTATACTTTATCTCATTTTTGACAGCTTATTATTAATGAGTGTTGCTTGACTATGTGTACTGCAAAGATTTATATAGGAATGTATATGCAGTACTTGTCAAAAATACATTGCATATATATTCTCATTATCGAGATACAGTAATACGGAGTTCAATTGCATTTTTACTTGGTTTGCGTTAAGCTCATGAAACAGAAGCATTCTTTTGACCTCTTAGCTTTTCATTTCATCCACACCCATTGTCATGTAATGTGATGACTTATTTCTTTGTCTGCGTGTTGCAGGATTTGCTCAAGAAAACCAGCTTTGTATGGAAGGGCAAGATCCCCTTGGATGAGTGCAGGATTGAGGATTGTCCAGATGGCAAGGGTAACTATTATACAACAGTATAGTATAGTATTATTGGAGGAGGGTTTGCATGACAGGCATAAAAGGTGATGCATTATCCTGTACAATTTGACCCTAATCCATCCCTGGACTATGTAGGGTCAGATTGGAAAGTGGTCAAATATTTTGCAAGACATTGTGTGAAATTGAGTGAGAGCAGTACAAAAACGCACTATGAAAGAAGTGGCTGAAGCTGGTCAAATTGCAAGTCAACCTCCCAGACAATTTAACCATCAAATTGTGGGATGGACAAATTGTTGGTGGTTGCATTGAAAAATGCCACCTGTATTATAAATTGGTGTTTGATTGGTGCACTGAAGAAAAAAATCATATGTGTGATGCTGTGAATAAAATTTGATTCATCTGCTGCAGCAAATAAGAAGCTGCATATATTCCAATTACATCCCTGAATAATAAGTATGGCAGTCAGCAAAGATGTCTATATATATATATATATGTAAATTGGACAACTGTATAAGATTTAAAAAACTGGAATGATTTATAAAAACCCATTAGTGAATCATATACAGTGTACTACAGGTGGTACCTTGCAATTTGATCCTAATCCGTTGCCACACTTGGGTCAAAGGGCAAAGCAGTTGAATTGCAAGACACTTTGTTAAATTCAAAAATATCAGTGTAAAAATGTGCAAAAATCGCCAAAGCAGGTTGATTTGCATGGCAAAAGCCAAATTGTGAATCAACTCCCCTGCAAATTCGAACATCAAATTATGGGACAGTCATATTTGAGGGAGCTTATTTAAAATGCAATAGGTACCACGTGTATACTGCATGAAAGCAGATGAGCTTGCTTATTGCCTATTATTCAAGGTTTATTTTAATTCAAATCACTTTTTTTCTTTTAATCACATTTATTTTCTTATTATTCTTGCTGCAATAATAATAATAGTATTAATCATGAGATAAGAATAATCATAAGTCATGTGATGATGATGAGTGTGTTTGTTGTTGTTGCTGTTGTTGCTCAGATGAACACCTGGGAGTGCCACTGAAGAATGCGTGGAAAGTGGTCAACACTGTGCGGAGTCACTACTTCCTCTTCTACACCAGGACTGCAGAAGAGAAGCTGGAGTGGATGAGGGCCTTTGGCCGGGAGCGGGCCCAGGTCAGGCAGGACCTGGAGCAGGGCATCGTGTTCACGGAGCGCGAGAAGGAGGACGCGAGGAGGGCAGCACTGGCCACCAGGACCAACAGCAAGTTCAACAAGAAGCCCAAGGGTATGTATGCATATACAGTTTTGTATATATACAGTACAGTACGCAAAATTACAAATTCAAAATACTGTACTTGTTGTCATTTAAATTATAAGATACAATCATTATATTTTGGGGGAATTTTTTTGTATACACTACAGTAATTGATAATTTGTTATAAAGAGAGTTTCAAAATGTAGTGCAGTATATGGAAAGAATGGGAGATATTCAAGGGCATTACAGGAAGTGCAGTACTTCATAGACATACAGAGGTGATTGTGTCTCTCTGTGTGTGTCTAGATGTCACTCCTTTCAACAGTCTACTATATATTGCTTTATTGTATTTGCACATCATCATACACCAGCATAATTCAATACAAGATGGAACATCACTTTTTCTGACTTATGCTCTGCTTTGTGTGAGAAGTAACATCAATTCTTGAAATCATGCTCAACTGTTGTATATATATATATATATATATATATCCCATTGATTTGATGCAGGCAAGCCGAGCAAAGTGAAGCTGGACCCAGATGTGATGGCCAGCTTCATGCGGCAGATGAACCCCGCTTCATATTCTGCTGCTGGCTCCACCACCACCACCACTAACAACA